CTGTCCTTGGCTGGCAGCGTTTTGATAGTGTATATATTGGAAAAGTCAGACGTGCCAGAAGGATTGAAGGAGCGCATCTTAATTTCGTACATCATGCCGGGCGAAAGGTGGGACAGTTTGTGCTCCCTGGTGTCTGCGCCCAGCGAGGTTGCCTTGAGGTACTCGCCGGCCGACTCTGAAGGTCGGTAGTAAATGAAGAAGCCCTCTATTGTTCCTGCATCAAAGCTGCTCAGATCCCAGTGCAAAGTAATCTCTGTCTGGGAGAGAGCAGCTGCATTCTTAATGGTCGGCGGCACGACGGGCCTTTTGGCGGCGGCATTGCGCGGAAAGTGAAACTTGGTCCAGTTCGATTTGGCGTTGTCGTTGTTCTCGTACACTGCCGCGATTCGAAAGCGGTACTTCGCACTGTGGTGCAAGCCACTGACTGAATAAGAGAAGATGTGCGCAGGAATCTCCTCGTCGACAGTGATGACCTCGTTTTTGCCCGCCTCGCGGAACTGCACTTTGAAGAAAGTGATCCGCAGCCCGCCCTGCTTCGACACTGACCAGCGCACCATGACTGAATCGTCATTGAGGGCGCTCACCACGGGATTATTCGGTGGAATCAATTTCATGTTCTTGTGTTTGCGCTTTTTGGCTCGATTCGCCAGCGTTGTATCGAAACCGTTATGATTGCCGTTACGAATCTCAAAAGTGCCTCCCGCTTCGCCATCATCGTCGGCGTTTAAAAATAAATCCTCATTGTCCTCTCTGCTCGGCATCTGTTCTGATTGACTGCCGCGATGCTTTGAGTGGCCGGGAAAACCAGATGCCGGGAAGGAATCACTGTGGGGAATGGCTGCAGCAGCCGCAGAGGAGGAGGAAGAGGAGGAAGACGATGAAGAAGAAGAAGAGGACGCCGAAGAGGATGAGGAGGAGGAGACAGCAGACACTGAGCGAACATTGACCAATTTGATTGAATATGTTGAGCCCAGCTGGTTCGTCATGAAGCACTGGAGAATGCCACTGTGATTGGCATTGGCGTTGCGGATCATTAACACTGTGTCGTCGTTTTTAAAGGCAAACATATTCTGTGGCCCTTGACCGTTGTTGATGATGTAGCCATTGTGAAGCCATGTGATGAATGGGCGCGGAAAACCCTTCGCTTCGCAAAACAGCTCCAGGTCGTGGCCTTCATCAACGTCCAGCACTTCGTAAGGCTCGCTGTTGACGATTTGCGGTATTTCAGAGACCTCGAGATTCGTTTCCGCTCGCAGAGTGTGTTTTCCATTTGAGGCCACGCAAACGTACGTTCCTTCGTCCGACTTCCCTAGTGTGGTAATGTGCAAGTTACCGCCGTCAATGTGATTTCGCTCCTTGTCCAGCTGCCCATTGAGTCGCTCCCAGTATATCTTTGGATTCGGATGACCCTTGGCGACGCATTCAATGGTGATATTCTGGCCGAGAATGCTGCTGGTGACTTTCTTAGGAGTGACTTCCCAGCTGATTTTGTTGCGTTCTGATGCTGGTATATGTCGGTGGCGAATCACCTTAAGGTTCACAAAGTGATGAGCATACACCTTTTCTGCGAGGTAGGGATTATTTGCTACGCAACGGTAGGCGCCTGAATCGATTGGTTTGGCATGGAAAATTTGCAAACTTCCAGATGGGACGAGTCGATATCGATCTGATAAAGTAGAGAAGGGGTTAAAAAATGCTGGTTCTAGACCAAGTACACAATAACCTACCATAACTGGTGGCAATTGTCATGTTGCCGAATTCAAACTCTGAAATGACAAATGGAACACCTGGCGGCAGGTCGCATGGCACTACTGCAGTGTTGCCGGCAATGACAGTCAACGTCTTATCCTGGCTGTTTTCCGGAGACTCAAAAGCGTTCAGCTCTCCGATGATCAGCTTAGCTGGTTGACTGACAATCCTCAAATTGCCTAGCTCAGCCAGACACTGATAAACTTCATTTGATGAAGCCACAGAGTGAGAGTGGTTGTGAGGGCTGCTACCGTGAAATGACTTGGTCACCTGCAGTATCAGCTTGTTGCCATTCACCTTGATCCACTCGTAGTCATCATTCTTAATGATGGAGCCATTTCTCAGCCACTTGATGGTCGCCTCTGGCGGGTGGGCATTGCAGATAAAGTTGATGCGACTGCCATCAGCACGGGAGAGCTGAGATTCGGGCTCCTTGATAAAGTGCAGCTGGTGGGCGCCCTTTCGAGAGCCACTGACCAGTGTTGCCGAGTAGCAGAGCAGCAGAGCCAGGAGCAGGAGTGGACTTATGCAGTGCATGGCGACGAGGGAGACAATGGCGAGGAGGTCGGTTTCATTGGCACACACGGAAACGGAGCGCAAAAGGCGCCGATAAGGTGCCGGAGTGACAGAGAGTACAGGGCAGACGATGGCGGTGGTGGTGAATGAGTGGCAGGAGAGACCAAAGTGAGCAAACAGTGGTGGGCACACTGATTGAGCGTGCGACAGTAGTAGGCTGACAGATCAACAAATGGCACGGCAAAGATCAGCAAATATTGTGAATGGGCTACCAGTGTTGCCGGTGTTGGCAGTTGTAGTAGTGTACTACTATCGGAGCCAGTAAATCAGAGGGAAGCAACGCAGATCTGACTGAATCCAATTGAGACTGTACTCTCAATCCTCCGGTGATCGGTGCGATGACAGGCGATGCAGGCGAAGGAGAGAAAGCGAGAGGCCATTACATGCACACTGAGGGGGAGAGAGAAAGGCACTGACAGTGCTATGCCATCCAGAATCGATGCAAAGAATGGCATGAGCAGCAACACAACACACAAAGAATCAGTGATGATGGTGAGAAAGTGCTGCTGGGGAGAAGGGACGAACAGTGGTGGTGGCACTGCCGAGAAGACACTGCTCTACGGCAAGGCTGGCTAACCTCGGGCTAAGCTGCCGAGCTTTCATAAGCTCTCAGTGTGTCCTGTGGTCGAAAACGGCAGAAGAAGCAGCCACAGCATTGGCATCGGCTAACGCAGCAGTATCCTTCACTCGTTCACTGACTCACTCGGACCGAGCGTGCTGTTGGCTTCACTTCTCCCATTTCTCGAGCACCAAGGAGGAGGAGGAGGAGGATAGAGCAAATGAAGTGAAGAAGTGAAGAACTCGAAAGTTGCCTGTTGCTTGAAAGGGAGAGTAGAGGGTGAGAGAGAGAGAGAAGACCGGGCTTCTAACTTCAGTGCTTTCCTGAGGCGGGCAGATGGGCACCAGACGAAGGCAGAAGAAGCAGAGGCAGGCAGGTCAGCCTGAACAGCTCAACAGTCGTTGAATGGCGCAGAATGAAGAACGCTGAAGAGTGTGAGTGGCTCGCACACATATTGCCGAAGACGGAGTGTGCTGCACCAGCAGCAGAACCCATTGCTCGGCGAGACGGTGGCCACATTCCAGGCAACAGACGGCTCAGGCGGCAGTTGCGCTGATCAGACTGCGCTGATGGCCACCATAAAACGGCCGTAACCTATGTCTCCTTCCCTTTCCCACTCTCTCTCTCTTTCCTTTCATTCCCTTCCTTCCCCCTCTTGCTAACTTTAGTAAGCACAGGTGCGCTGGGTGACGGTGGTGTCTACTGCTTCAGCCAAATAGAGAGCAGTGCTCACCATCGTAACAACTCTTCGCCTGGCGGACAGACTCGCTCGCTCTCTTTTTCTCCTCGATGAGGCACGTCCAGGACAACAATAGATGCGGAAAGAGTCCATCTGGTCGGATCGATTGCTTCTCGGAAATTAGCAACCTCGGGTGTATTTTTGCA